CTCTTCCAACCCAGTTGATTCTATGATTCTATGACTCTATGATCCTGCTTTTTTCAGATATAAAAGTACCCCCCCCATCTGGGATCTGAGAAAGGTGACATCTGGCCACACTTGGTTCAGTAGATAAGAGCTGCCCTGACTTTCCAGGCTGTCCTCCCCTTTGCTGGTGGGCAGTGACAGTACTGTCCCTAATTCTTGGAGGTGCTAAAGCTTGTTGGGCTGTCCCTGGACAGGGAAACAAAAACTTCTCTTTGGATGGCAGCTGCCTATTGCTTTTGGTTACCTGAGCCTCAGACAGCTGTGGCCTGGAGCACCAGGCCCCCTTGCTTCCAGAAACTTCCCTACTGAGTGGGATTCAGACTTCCCTCTGGTCTGTGGCCTTTCGACTCGATAAACAAGAAGTTGCCACCTCTGAGTGCTATGATATAAAATAAACCTGGGTTGTAACCAGCTGTTGGGCTCTGTAGCATCAACTACAGAGCTATTCAGTTGTCTTGACTCCAGCAACAGGAAGGTGGTGGGATGTGATGGGCAAAGAGCAATAAACAAGCCAGAGCCAACAGCCATACAGGCAGGTGTGTGCATAGAGGTGTTTATAGCCATTGCAAAGGAAGCACCAGCTGACACCAGGATTTTCCATGTCTGTCCAAGTCACCCACTCCATTTGTGCCCCAAGCAACTGAGTGTGCCCACCAAGCAGGAGCTAGGGAACCTGCAGATGGGCTCAGCCTAAGCTGCATGCTGAGTGCTGTGCAACCTTCCATCACTCCTTCTCTCATGTTACCTGGCACAGCTTGGTCATGGACGAAGGCAGAAGTGGGCGGCAGAACTTCTTCATGGAGCAGATTGCAGCTGGGAAGGCTGGAGCAGAGAAAATGGCAGCAACAAGGTTGATTCGCAGGATCCAGGAGAGCATTTCTTCCTTGCTTCTATTATGGAGGAGGGGAGAAGAGAAAGGGTCCGTAAATGCTCCTGACCCAGGACCAGCCAGCTCACAACAACCCTGGAGGGACCCACGCTCAGGAGGTCCATCAGTGGCCTTGCTTTGAAGCCACTTCTGTGCCACCCTGGGACAGAACCAGAGGGAAACACTGTCTAATTGGCTCCTCTACAGTGCCCTAATGATTTCAGGGCTGCTGTCTGCCTCTCGAAGCCCTGGCAGTCCTGCCTTCCTCATCAGCTCTGATTGCATTCCTGAGGGGAGGAGGGAGGGGTAGCATTGTGGCCAAGGCCAAGGAAATTCTGCTCTTTGGAGAGTGAGAGCCACACAACAGAGGTCCCACAGAGCAGGATGGACCCCTCATTTGTGTCAGTTCCAGGACACTGCGCAGGGTCCCTCATCAAATCTATTCAGGCATCTCCCCCAGCCTTCACGTGGGTTTTTGCTGCAAAAATTCAGGTGTCAAGCTTTAACTTGACATTAGTACCCCAACCCAACTTACAGACAATGTCACCTCAGCAGAAGACATGAAAAACATGAGACAGAAGATGACTCAATCAGTCTTGACACTTATTAACAGCACAACTTTCTTCTGCAATGGACTTAGGGAGAAAATAGATCTAGCCTGGTGGGGGAGACTTCTTTAATGAGCTTTAGACAGTTTCCCCATCAAATGCTGATGAGGGGGACCATCATCTCCTTAGTTCAATGCACCGCACAGATTTTCTCCTTTCACACACTGCCAACAGAAGTTAGTAAGGAGAACCCTGTACTCAGCCCTTTGCATCCCAGCCCATCCTGCTCAGACCACCTTGGTGACAGACCTCCAGGTCTGAAACAAAGCTATCAAGAATGTGTGATTCCATGACCAAATCCTTTGCACACCCCTACAGACAATGCCCTCAGCCCCTTCCTCCCCCAGGTCTGTCCCCTAATGCATGTGCTGATGTGGCTGTGTGGGAGGGGGTCTGGTGGTGGCTGCAGGTCAGACTGCCCATCCAGGCTCTGTGGGAAGAGCTGGTACTCACGGGGCCTGGAAGAGGAAGACTCTCCAGTCAGCTGTCTTCAGCTTGAGGACATTGGACTTCTTGCTGTAGTCAGAGGCTTTTGTGGCTAAGGCGTGGTGCACACGGATGGCATTTTTCAGATCCACTTCAGAGAGGTCTTTGTCAGGTTTATATTCATCCTGTGAAGAGGAACGTTAATTGGATAATGACAACACTAACATTTGCAGGCTGCTTTAATGAACCTGCCTTTCTCCCTGCACTATAATCACAGAGTGCCGAGACCAGGAAAAGCACTGCTTTGTACAATAAATGCTAGGAGCTGATAATGATAATAATTAACATCTGGCAACTGCTTCCATCATTAAGTTCACTGGGAAGATGTGAAGAAGGAGATGAAAGTTTTAAACATAATTATCAATAGTTATCTCTAACACAGCACATGCCTGAGGCTTTGGGGGAAGGCACAAGGCAGGACCAGGTTTCTGCAGAGCTGCCCCCATAGTGCAGAGCTCAAGCCAGGATGCAACTCTGGATTGAGAGCAGGTATCAGTGAGCACCTGCCCTGGTGCTGCAGCTTCATGGAATCATAGAATCCCAGAATGGTTTGGGTTGGAGGGACCTTAAAGACCATCTAGTTTGCCCCCCTGCCATGGGCAGGGACACCTTCCACTAGCCCAGGTTGCTTCAAGCCCTGTCCAACCTGGCTTGGAACACTTCCAGGGATGAAGCAACCACAGCTTCTCTGGGCAACCTGTGCCAGTGCCTCACCACCCTCACAGGGAAGAATTTTTTTCCATATATCTAACCTAAATCTCTCCTCTTTCAGTTTGAACCCATTACTCCTCCTCCTATCACTATGGCTTTGTGTGGAGGAGAGTCTGGGCTTGGGTAGCCCTGGAACAGCCCCATCCCTGCAACCAGTGCACCTCTGTACAGGTTTGGGCCTTGCTGGGCAGTTGCCAGACAGAGTGTGGCCCACCTGAACCACTCCTGGTGTCTCTTTAGTACGTGTGCCCCTTTGGCATCATGTCCCCAGTAATTCATTAGACTGGCACTTGCAAATGGCAGCAGCATTCCCTGGATTCCTGCTTTGCTCTCTCCACTGAAGGACCATTTCACACAAGTAGGGAGTGATGAAATAACTATATATGTATATATTTTATAAACAGATAGAAATACTCAACATGGGATTTTGAAAGGATCATCTTGGCACAGCCATGAAGTTAATTCAATCCTGTGTTTACCCTTTGCTTTTTCAGTGACTGAGCTCCAGACCAGTTAAAGCAATACCCTGCCACCCACTCTGCACCCCTGTGTTTGGGGTGATATTCAGATGGGCAGTACAGATGACCTTTTCACAGTGGGGATTTCAGTAGCCAGAGGAATGGGCTATTAGCCTTGCAAAGGAAAACAAATGTTTTGCCTTATGAGGACCTAAAGTGTTACCCCACTTGGAGAGAAACAGTTGCTGATGAGGCTTCATACATTGTAGAGAGACTTCAATTTGGGATGTTTTTCCAAGGCTGAAGCTCTTTGGATCTGAATAAATCTGACTATGCTGCCCATGATTTCTTATTTCAAGATAAGCTTCCTGAAAATACAGAGCAAAATAACCCATCTTAACTGCGCATGACGAGAAGCAACTGGCACAGCTGCTAAGTGCTTTGACTAATGCAGATCCTCATCTTGAATGGATTCATCATGTACTGCCTCTAAGGATTTCAAGCTCTCAGGCATCAGTGTTGGTGCAACAAAAAGCCAAATCTTCTTTTTCTAATGCTGGGTCCAGTAAATCTGCAATGAGGTTGAACAAAGCAGATTCTCTCTACCTTCTGCCTCCCTGTTCACAGGAGTGCATGGTGCTGGAGGCTCATTGCACTGCACTGCTCTTCCAGGGGGCTCATCACAATGCCTGTGCTGCAGTGGTCATGATGGTCTGTATGGCTGATGATCTGGGAGATATCTTAATCTGCACCATCATCTGCAGACAGCTCCAAGGCTGTATGATGCCACACACACAGCTGCAGCCATCACAGTGCCCAGCACTAACAGAATCACACATTGCCTAGAACACAGAGATGTTCATGTTCATCAGCCTCCTGACCTTTCACCTCGAGCTCACACTTCTCCTGGGGAACACAAAAATTCACTGTTCCCATGCTTTGACCCATTTTTTGTGAAAGCTTAAGCAACTCCAACCAGCTCACCAAGATGTAAAGTGAGGCTGCACTCACAGAATCACAGAATGGTTGAGGTTGGAGGGGACCACAGTGGCTCATCTGGTCCAATCTCCCTGCTCAAGCAGGGTCATCCCAGAGCACATGGCACAGTGTTGTGTCCAAACATCTCTGGAATATCTCCAGTGAGGGAGACTCCACACACTCTCTGGGCAATCTCCCTCTTGTGCCTGGCTCTTTCACCTGGATGGGGTGAAAGAGCCCTCTCTGGCCTCAGAACCAGACCTGGACAGTGCTGGAAATATGGACATGGAGAGACAGATTTCTCATGCTCTGGCTTGTGAGTAGGTTTTCCTCTTCTTTCTTTTCTTCACCTCACATGTTCCAGCCTAAACAAACCATTTCATGAGGAAAACTAACCCCTGTGCTCTTTTCAGTCCAGTCAAGAACTTGGTGCTCCAAGGAGCACTATCTTGGCAAGAGTCTGCCTGCATAGGACAGCACCTGCAGCTCAGAGCTGCTCTTAGGAACCCCTTCATGGTCGGGGGCTGCAAAGGCAGAACCTGCTGTAAGACCTGCACCCTTTCCAGGATTTCTGTATAAAAGCACCTTATGCTTTATAGCTCTCCATCCTTCTCAACACCCCTCTCTGTGTGGTGATTAAGGGTTATTATCCCCATTTCACAGAGGTGAAGTAAGTTGCCAAAGGCCATGGAGTGAGTCAGTGCCCAGAGCAGATTAGTGCACAGGAGAGGTGTGCCCTGCTCCCAAGTGTGCATTTCTCCCTCAAGACTGTGCTGCATCCCTTTAGGGGATCAAGCAATTTCTTCAGCAGACTATGCTAGAACATGCTAATCCAGCAATTAACACCAGAGAGCCAATGACATGTGACATCTCCTTAACAGCAGGTTTATGGCTGATTCCTGAATTCCTTCTGTCAGACCAACTTCTACCTGTCCACCCACCCACCCTTCTGCCTGTTTTACGTCCATCTCTCTCTGTATCTGGCCATTCCTCCTTTCTATGCATCTACCTCCCCAGGCCCTCCCTCCTCTGCTCCTTCCCTCTCTCTCTCACTCTTATTTATACTCAACTTGCTCCCCAAAACCAAATGGAATAGAGTTTCTTATTAAACTGACAGGAATTCACTATTAAAGCCCATATGCTTGGTTTGGTCTGACTGAAAAACTGGAACAGGCTGAACCTGTGCTCCATGTCATCAGGTGGGTCTGGAAGCAGGTACTTTCTCCTCTATCTTCACATCACAAGATCTTTTCCCAGTGATTTGTGCTCAAGCCAGGTTCTACCTTATGTTTATCTGCAGGCACCTTCTGCTGGGAGCTTGGGAGGTTGGCACACTGCTTCCTTCCTGTATTGTGCAAGTCCTTTGTTCTGCAAACCACCCCATAGGCAAGAAATGGCACCAAGAATTGACAGGGCAGGTGGATGTTTATCCACCCTCTGATGTGGTCCTGGGAATGTTTGGAAGTGGCAGGGCAGGGACTTTGCCTTCATGGTCTCATCCTTCTGTCCTGTCCCTACAAGCCTGATAGACACTTCTACAGCCAAGCCCAGCCCAAGGAATTCTCTGAAGAGCACTATAATACAGTCTGGCAGCAGCTCACAACTAGGAAACCTCTCTTTGTCCAAATTCTTTGCCCAAATGTTCCTCAGGTTAATTTTTGTTGTTTTTCCAAATACTATTTCCTTGGGGCATTCTTGGCAATTCTGGTCCCTCCTGCTAATTACACATCAGTCATGGCTGCTATTTATCAGACACTTACATAACCTTGGGCATTTTGCTTCTTCAGTCCTTGTGCATAGAGAAAGCCTCTGAACCATTTGCTCCTGAAGGTCACTGGGATAAGAACATTGGTCTTCTATCTGCTATGTCAGTCTCATCCTCACTCTCTTTTAAAATCCTAAACACTTTGTACTAACATAAAGAACTATGATAATATAGAATTATGTTAATATAGCAGCCTGGATGGTTACTGCTGCAAGCCTTGGACAGTAAAGAAGCCCCAACCCCTTTGCTCCATCAGCAGCAATGACACTCAGCATTGGCTTCATGGCTCCTTCTGCTGCTGTCCAAACAATCAAGAAAATCTTCAGTAAACTGGATTTTGGTCCAGCATGGGAAGAAAATTCCATCCTGAAAGGGTATTTCATTCTCAATATAAACCCCCTCAGCAGACTAATCCCAAGAGAAGTCCTTGGTGAAAAAATTCATTTGGATTCAAATTCTTCTGGTAATAGTGGAAATTTCTTTTGTTTCCCTAGAAAAACTGTCATAAAATTAAATGCTGATGGCAGCTCTGTACAAGTTAAATCCTCAAGCATCACCTGTGGTCAGCATGAGGACTCTGGTGGATTCCATGTGGAGACTTGTAACAAGACAAGGACTGAGGTGTGAGAAAAGTGCTGCTGATTTGAAGAATACCACCCATAGAGGACTGGAGAAGATCTGGGCTCTCCTGTGTGCTGCATCTTCCTTCAGCTGCAGGAGTGAGTGGCACAGCTGTAAAAATACCACTGGGCTAAGAGCAACCCATGCTGTAAGTTATGATCCACTACTGCCAGACTTCTGTTGGCTTTTTGACATGTGCCATAGGACCTGGCAAAACACGAGAATCATTGGGGTGTGCTATGAGCTCTGAGTCATAATTCCATGCTGCCCTGAGGATCTTTTTGCCTTTCTTATATAATCCAATGTTTGTTTACTCTCATTGCTGTGGAGATAATACCACAATACATAGGAGCAGCTACCCACGGGGAGTGCTGCTCCAACAAGGTGAGTTCAATGGGTTACTGCACAGCTTGTGCTGCTCAGGTAGTTCAGACCTAGTTCAGTGGGTTATGCTGTTGCATGATGAACAGACATTTGGCATCCCTGGCTGGCTCACACTGACACTCAAGTAAGCCCCTATCCAGGCTCCTTGGATTTTCCCACAGAAAAGACTTTCCAGCAAATCCTCCTAGCATCCAAGTGTCAGAGAGATGAATGCTACAGCATACAGCGAAGATATTCCATGGTGACTTTGTGTCCCATGAGGACCTGGGAATTATACTTGTGTTGACTAGAGGTGGCTAAACAATGAACAGAGAGGAAGAGAGACAGAAGATGTCACTTGGCAATCCATGGAAGGACTTAGCTCAGCAAGGTCCTGAAGGAGAAGTAAAACTTTAAGCATAGAATCATAGAATATCATGATTTTGAAGGAACTCACAAGGATCTAGGCCTAAGATGGAGCCCTGTGGAATTCCACTAGTGGCCAGTCACCAGCCTGATGGAATCCCATTCATTGTATGAGGTCACACATCACGTGACGTGTTTATCCAGCTGTGGGCTGGACATTTTGTCCAAAAGGATCCTGTGAGAGACAATACTGAAAGCTTTAGTGAAATCCAGGAAGATTACATCAATTTGTTTCCTATCCCAGATTCAATAAAGCTGTGTATATTCAGGTCTATGCTAGCAAATACGATAGGCAGCATAAGACTGGTCTGATGCTCCACCTCTTCAGTTTCCTATTTCATTTCTCACCAGCATTCTATTTCACCTATTCCGTATCATCTGTTCATTCATCCTCCCCAAGAGTTCCTACTTGCTGGGATACTTCTGCAGAAATCTTGCCTTAGTGTTTCCTCTTTCATACTTCTTCCTCCAAGGTCCTCTTTCAAGGCCGTGAATATTGCTAAATATTTTGAGGCTGTGAATATTGCATGAATACCACCTCCACAGGTGACAGCATCCTCCAGCTCTGGTCTCTGGAGGAGCTATGTCAATGTCCATGCATGCATTAGGACATGGATTCACCTCTACTTGCACCTCTGGGTCTCCTGCTTAGGACAGCAGGACTGCTTTGGAGACAACATGAGACAGCAAAGGGATAGTCCCCCACAGTTACCTTTTGTAAATAAAGGACGGTCCCTTTAAGCACAGCATAAAATTTCTTCCAACCTCTTCTTCCTCTGGGAGCTAAAAAAGGAAGAATATTTAATTTTACATGTCTGCTTCTGCCAGTGCTGCTTGGCATTCCCGGCAACACCAATCCCTCTCCTGACCCACCACAGACACACACTGATGCCCAGACCTCACACACCTCCAAGCTATTGCTCATGAGCAGCTTGTATGTGGGGACATGTGTTTGAGACATATCAGCTGGGTGCTGCAGCCTCCCAGATGGAACACAAGCAGGTGAAAGCCAGAGATGAGCTGGTACAGGGGTACCAGTGGGCACCTGCAGGATGTATCTGTTCCTTCAACTCAGGTTCATGTTCCTTGGACTAAATTCCTGAGGAACAGCGACATTGCCTGAGCTCCTCTGCTTCAGGGGAAGCTGAAAGCTCCTCTGCTTCAGGCAGCTGTACTCTGGAAAAGGCAGCTTCTGTTCCACTGAGGAGGGAGCATTGCCACCAGCCATCCTGATGGACTTGGGGACAGAGAGCTTGCTGAAATCTGGAGACAAGACAGCTGATCCTCCAGGCACAGGCTATTAAGAAAGTGCAGGAAGCAAGGGAGGCCTTTGGTGGTAATCTCTACTCAAGACTTTTAATCAGCTGCAGTGACTGGGCCAATCACATCAATTAGCAAAAGGGATTATCCAAGGTTTAATTAATCTTTGCTCATTAGCAATTCCCAAATATCTTTTCCTGTACCTTTCCTGTATCTCATATGCTGACAGCAGAGCTATGAGGCATCCTGCTGCCCAGCCAGCACACAGCACATGGCAGGACATGGACAGGAGCAAAGCTTGGAAGACCAGACTGTCTCCAAGGTCAGGGCTGGGGTGGACAACTACTGAGGAACCAGCTTCTCTCCCTTTCTCAAAGAGCGGGATTCAGGATTATGCCCATGAACAGGCTGGAAGACCAGGTCTGTCTGTGTGAGACAGGCATGGTTAAGTTCCTTGGCAGTGAGAAGGGAAGACTGAGGCTTCCTGAAAACATTCATGTCTACAAAAGGCTCAAAACACTCTCCTTCCCCTGTGCCCTGGCACTCATGGGGGCCTCTCTTATGTTCCCTTGGAAATGCCTTTATCAGGAGAGCCAGGGAGATGGGCAGGGCAAGGCTCTGCCCACCTCCCTGCCTGGGGCACTTCTCCCCCTGTCCCGTTAACACGTACTTCTCTTTCCATCCATGTCTGCATGGGTTTTACGTGTGAGGACACCGTGCTTGTACGTGACTGCATTCAGTGCTTGGGGGATGTCCAGGAAGGGGTTGCTGCTGTCAACAATCCTTGTCACTTTCTTCGCACTGGCTCCAAATTTGTCATCTACCAGCTCCGAGAGGGATTTCCTCAACTCATCCTCATCACTTAAAAACAAAATGAGAGAAGAGATTTGGTGGAGGAGGCATGGATTGGGTCACAGTGTGCTTTGGGTTTAGAGTGTTTTTTACAAGACTGGTCAGAGAAAGGAAAAGGAAATGCAGGGACTCTAACTCTCAGAGTGCCAGTGATGGTGGTCTGAGCAGGGAGGAGTGTGGGTGGAAGGGAAGTGACCCAGTGGTCTCACTGTGAGGTTACTCAAAATAGGTAAGGGGATAGGTGCTCATCTGAACATCAGCAAACTGCAGACACACCATGGTGAGAACTACAAGCATTTCACAGGGAGAGGCTCCAATTCTGTGCCCTAAAACCAGAGCTTAAGGAGAGCTTTAGCTGCAGGCCACGTATCACCAGCATTTCTCAACTGCTGAGTGGCAGAGTCTAGGGCCTACTTGATAGTGAAGGACTTGTCTCTGCATCTCCAAGGAACAAAAGCTCTGCAGACATTCGGGAGATGGACCACTTGATCAAAAAGATACAAACCTTGGAACAGGTTATACATCTACTCCCCATTTGTGTCCTCAAGGTGGGCTGGCAGAGAGCAAGAAATGCTGGTCATTTCCATAAAAACTGCTTCTCACAGATCTCCTGGTCCTGAACCTTGGACAGCAAGAGCTGAGCAGATTAGGGAAGTGTTACTGACTCCACCAAGCCTGCCTCTTCCCATCTAGAGTAAAACCTACTCTGGCACAAAGAAACTAGAACTTGTAAGGGAAGTGATAGTTCCCAGTGTCCCTGGGACATGAAGGAGGGAGAGCAAACAGGGATTTTCTGCCTTGTGTGATACATATCAGTGTCTAAATGGCATGAGTGGTCACCTTAGGTGGCAGATCAGACTGGGGCCAAACCTCAGCTGAGGAGTGACTCATCAATGAATCCACTGGCTGAGATGTGAGCAGTAACACACCATACTTCCTCACCTGCAGCAAGCAGGTGGCCAAAGCATCTGGCACCTCTTGGAAGAGAAGGATGTTTTCTCAACCCTCAGCACCCACAGGAGTCCTGGGGCTTAGGCAGAGCCCAGGCCCTGCATCTGAGTTGGGAGTTAGTGGGGCTCAGCTCTTTGGGCTGCACAGAGGGAGCCCTCTGAGCTCCTTCTTGCTGCTGAGATAATAGTTGCACACCTGCCTGTCTGATGGGTTTTGTGGGCAAGGGCATTTCCTTCCCTGGGATGGACAAGGACAGATGGCAGAGGCAAACAGGGAGAAGAGAGTCCTGCCAGTGCAAGGTTATGACTCAATGCCAGGTGTCTAAAAGAAAACTAGGTACCCCATGTCAATAAGTCTGTCCCAAGTACCCCATGTCAGGGAGCACCTCTCTCTCCCCCAGCGGAGGAGCTGAGGGGTCTCTTGTTTTGCAGTCTGCAACCAAGCAGGACACCCTGCAGCAAGGCAGGTCCCATACCGGTGCGGGCTGAGTGAGGAGGGGCAAGGCTACAGCGTGGTGTGAAGGAAGGCAGGAGCGGGGTGGGTGCTGCTGCAGCGGGACCCGGCGGGGTGAGACCGCCGGGCTGTGCCAGCAGGGAGCTGTGCTGGCGAGCGTTGTGT